AATGTCGTATTAAATTGTTATTGGTTTAGAACCCTACCATGTTACTCTTTTCCAGTAGAATAATGACCTTTCCTCTTTTTAGCATAAAGTAACTACAAATGAAAAGTCACAAAATTAACATTTCTGAATCCAGAGTAACAGAAGCAAGAACAGAATATCTTCTTTGTGCTAGGTGTTATAATACACTTAACAAGAAAATGTTTGTGCAAAACACTGATGTAGGTGCTTTGAATGATTCATAAAACTTTACGACTCCTATTATTATGAAAGATAAAAGGCATACATGAGATTACATAATGGGAGTTTATAGCTAAATGACTAACCAATGATTGAACAAGTGCTGTAAGAGATAAGAGGAAGCAAGGCAGAAATCATTACTGGATTACAAAGAAGCTTTATGAATAAAGTGGTAGAAAAGAGAGTCATTACAACCATTATAAGGAGCTTTGGTAGCGTAGTGGTTACGAATCAGTCTGTGAACCACAAGGTCAGCAGTTTGAAACTACCAGCTGTCCCACGGGAGAAAGATGAGGCATTCTGCTCCCATAAAGATTTACAGCCTCAGAAGCCCTATACAGGGTTGCTACAAGTTGGAACCGACTCCACGGCACATCACCATCACCACCACCACTGGTAACATAGTGGTTATGAGTCAGGCTGCTAATGTCACGGTCAGCAATTTGAAGCTACCAGCCATTCCGCAGGAGAAAGATGAGGCTTTCTGCTCCAGTAAAGAGTTACAGCCTCAAAACCAACTCCATAACACACCACCACCGCCGCAATCATTATAGTTTTGGATCTGCAAAGGCCTAAATAATTTATCTCCCATGTCAAGTTTCTTAAAAGCTACAAGAGGAGCTTCAGCAAAATCAGAGCATAAACAAACAAAGAGGAAGACACCAGATGCCTAAAACCCAAGCTCCAATACAGGAGAGCGGCCAAAGGAAGTCCCAGGGTGACAGCTGGACAGCAGGCCTGAGGAGCCAACTGCAAAGACTGCAGCAAGAGAATGGTGGCCAGAGGGAGGCGCTAAGAGGAACCCGGAACTGACAAGGGAGAACACTGATGCGTTTCAGTGCTTTACTTGATGTGATAGAGGTTTGAGGTATTGGAAAGCTGGAGCATTTAGAAAAAATAAGCAATAGGGAAATTCAAAACACTACCGCCAATAAAAACAAATGGAAAAACAAGGCAACTATTAATTTAAATGGGACAAGTGTAAAAAAAAAATAATAATAATCATGCCTGCCACATTACTCATCTCAGCAGTGGATACTTATTTACATAATCCTAGTGTGGCACTGGTGGGATAAGCACTGGACCACAAGCTTGTTTGGATTGCAAGGTTGGCAGTTCAAACTCTCCAGCAGCTCCTTGGAAACCTTACATAGGGTCGCTATGATTCAGAACTGATTTGATGGCGTTTAGCAACAATAGTGTAAATATTAGCTACTGAATGATTCAGATATTGTTACAAAACTATTGCCAGGAGATGAGTGGGTATAACTACCCGAATTTAAAAGGTAACTTCTATGCTGATTTTTTTTGTAAGAAGCACTATACAATTTAGAAACAGAGATCAGTTCCAACAGCAGAAAGAGATAAAAAATAAGTTGGAAATATTGTCACTGAGAAGGGGGTAACATTGTAGGAAGGTGTGTGTTGGGGAGTTGGTGGTAGGAGGAAGAGTAAAAATTGCTGTTTATCATTGTAGGCCTTGAAAAAGGCTTATATCAAAAAACGTCTTTTATTGAAAATTAAATGAGTGGACAAAAAATCCAACATTTATATACTGTCATTTATTCATATAACAAAAATATTTATCAAGCACCATTCTGAGCCCAGTGTGGCGCTGTAGGTTACTTCATCATACTGCAAAGTTGTTTGAATTGCAAGGTTGGCAGTTCAAGCTCACCAGCTGCTCCTTGGAAACCCTATACAGGGTTGCTATGGGTTGGAATCGACTCAATGGCACTTAACATTCTGAGCCAGGTACAGAGCCAGGACCAGGAAGACAAAGATGAAGGGAAGACATAGTGGTCTTTGCTCTCATGGAGCTATGTCTACTAAAGCAAACAGGCACTGAACAAGAAAATGAATACGTAAAAGAAATACAGTGTGTCAAGCTAAGTGGTGTGAACAGAAAAACAAAACTTAATATTGTGATAGAAAACGGGATAAAGGGAAGACAGAACAGCTACTTCAGTTAAGTTTTTCAGGAAAGGCCTCTGAGAAGAGTGAGACTTAAGAGATACAAAGCTATCAACTTTAGGGAAGCCAGTGTGGTCTGCAGCACCGAAAGTGAGCAGAATGGTGGCTAGAGTTAGGGGAAATAGCAAGGCCGAGAGCTGGTTGCTGTACATATAAATTTGTGGAGTCCTCAGAACATAGATCATTTTTAAAACCACGGGAAGGAGTGCAAACATGTATCTCAGAACCAACATTTAAAAGGAATGGAAGAGAAGGAATCAATAAAGGAGGCAGAAAAAACAGGGCCTATAAGGAAAGGCACAGTAAGTAAGTCTGAAGACAGTACACTGTCGTAGTCTACAACTACAATACAGCTTCAATTTATTTTGACAATTTTTCAGATTTTTTATCAGTTCTGAGATAATAGGGAGATTTGTTAAGTACCATCCATCCAATCAGTTCTGACTCTTATGGCCAGATTCCGGGGTCCCCAAAAACCACCAAGGAGCCGACTCCAATGCAAACACACGAGGGTTGTTTATTCAAGCTCGAGCTCGAGCTTGGGCTTCATCCGTATCCGGACTCGGGAAAAAGGCCCTGAACTCTCAGTCAGTGGGGTTTTTATAGAGGTTACAAGCAGGTTCGGGGGGCTTCAGCTTACCTACTCTAGGAGGTTTACATTTTGCAAGGTATGGGGTGTTACAATCTGATTGGTCACTATTAGTAGCTTGAGCTGCTAGGTTAGGGTAAAGGAAGACATATATTATCCGGCCTTGAGTTGTCACAATGTTTATCTATTCTTTACTGCTTGCCAGGGGAGGAGGGCTGCTCTCATGCAGCACGGGCTGACCTGGCACATTCCTGAAACAGAGATTCCGGCCAAAGTGTAGAATGGAGTCTTTTCTTTAGGTCTCACAACTCATAGCGACCCTGTTAGGGTTTCCGAGGCTTTAAATCTTCGTGGGAGTAGAAAACTTCATCTTTCTCCAGCAGAGCGATTCTCAGGATTGAACCATGGTCATTGTGGTTGGCAGTCCAGTGCTTATCATAAGAAGCCACTTCGCACCCCGATGATAACTTGTATTGAGAAAAATACATAGAGGTATTCATGCCCGTTGTAAATTAGACCACTGTAATTTAGGACCACTGTTAAAAATTTAGCCACGAGGTGCCCCTCTGTGCGGCTGTGGACCCGCCACTATAGGGCCAGGATTTTAACTGAGCTGTTTTTCCGCGACTTTCCTAGATGCCCCTCTTCCCTCTTAAGAGTAAACTATATGTAAATCTGAAAAATAAACCTACTGCCATCAAAGATTCCAACTCATAGCGACCCTGTATAAGATTTCCAAACTGAAAGGTTGGTTTGAGCCTCAAGGTCAGCGGTTCAAACCCAACAGTCGCTCTTTGGAAACTTTATACAGGGTTGCTATGTATTGGGATAGACTCTAACAACAACAAATCTTTGCAGAAGCAGAAACCCTCATCTTTCCCCCTCAGAGACTGGTGGATTTGAACTGCCAACCTTGCAGTTAGCATTCTAGTGCTTATCCAGTCCAGCACTACCTGGGCTCCTTTAATATATTTTATTTTTTACACCTAGCGTGCAACACTAGAATACTATTGTTTATTCTTCAAAACAAAACAACAAATATATACATCTTGTTTTGAAGAGTAAACAATACCCAGTGTTGCACTCTAGATATAAAGAAGTTCAGAGCCGCGGCGCAGCCGGCAGCCTACGGCAGGGCGCTGTGAATCAGCTTTGCGGTTCCGGAGGGATTAGAGCCCGGGGACGCCATGGCCGCGGGATGCAGCGGCCCAAGTAAGTCTTTTGCTCCCTGAGCCACGAATACGGTCAGAAAACTAGGGGCGAGGAAAAACAGAAGGCAAATGGGAATAAAGCAGAAAGCAACAAGGGCGCCGCGTTCCTGGGGGACCAGGGCCTACGCCAGACAGAGCTCTACAGACAAGCCAATCCTGGCGCTGCTTGCCAGATGGCGCGTTGGGCTACTGCTTCCGAGGTCGTTGCACCGGGTCCCGCCTTTAAGCTGCAATGGCTTACCATTTCCAACTTTCTTTACCCGACTTGTTGTTTAAATATGCAAGAAGCGCTTGGGCCTGAGCCGAAGCGGCGGGACTTCCCTAGGCAGGCCCCACCCCTCAGAGCGCCATGCTGCAGGGGATGCTGCGTCTGCTGTCCAGAGCTCGCTGCCTAAATCGAGGCTGCAACGGAGCCTGTAAAGTCTGGGGCCTAGGGTGGCAGGATACGCCTTCTAAGGCATGAGGGTTGTGAAGCCTGTTTAGCCGTCCCCGTTAGGGGCGGAAAGAAGCTGGCGCCCGGGGCGGCGCAATCCGAGAGGAAGCTTTAAACTGCTGGGAGTGTGAGCAGGCGCGCAACTCTGAGTGCGCGGGAGCGCAACTCCTGAGTGCGCGGGAGCGAGTCCATTGGAGCCCCTTAGTGGGGGTCGAGAGGGGTGCTTTTTGTTTTGTGTGGCGGGACTACTGAGAAGCTCCACCCTTGAATGAACCCTAGCCTTGAATTTGGAAATTAAAAAAAAAGCCTCAGTAGTTTTTCCTATCTCAAACCTGCTTTTTGGAGAAGGGCTCCCAATCCAAAATTTGAATGTTGCTTGCCCTTCCAACCATCACTGTAGGATCGTCCGGGTGGGGGAAAGGCGGGCCAGGAGGGGCTGGCGGGAAACTTAAACTTTGGTGTGCTCCTGCAACTGACATCAGCCTGCGCTTTCTCATTCCCTCTTTTCTGTTTGCTTTTCTCTTTTCATCTCTGCTTTCCACCTCTCTCTCTGCATTGCTATGCCCTACACCGAAGCGTTATCTGCCATTTCTCCCAGCAAACGGGCCCGGCCTGCCGAGGAGGGCGGCGTGCGGCTCCGCTTTGCCCGGCTGTCGGAGCACGCTACCGCCCCGACCCGGGGGTCCTTGCGGGCAGCGGGCTATGACTTGTACAGGTGAGTGGGAAGGGCCTCCACGTGTCCCTGAAGAATGCTAGGCAGTGGCCAAGAGGCTTAGAGGGGCGACCTTCTGCCTCCCAGCTGTGCCCTCCGCAAAGGAGGCCCATCTCCCGAGTTCCCGAGTTCCAGACCCTGCTTGTATATATTTCGGCTATCTCCTACCACTACTTGAAGTGAAAAGGTTATGGAAACAAACCCTTCTTGCATATATGTAGGGGTTCTGCCTTTTTTCATCTTGAAAACTTTTAGCATTCAGCATAAATTTAGTAGGGATGCTTGTAAGTACACAAAATGACCACCGAGTCGTTTTGCAATACTTAGTTCTCTGTGCAAGTGGAAAGTAGAAATGATTAAGGCTCTGTGCTCTTCCTGATCATCAAGGAGACACCTGAGGGTGGTGGTTATTGTTAAGTGCCAGTGAGTTGGTTCTGAGTCATAGAGACCCAGTATAGGGTTTCTGAGGAGCAACTGGTGGATTTGAACCGCCGACCTTGCGGTCCTGTGCGTACTCCTCCAGTGCCACACCAGGACTCCAGCCTGAGGCTGATACTATGCAAAATAGAAAAGTTGGTGTGAACCTACACCCAGAGCATGATAAAAACTAAGAAGGACTACTGAAGGCTGCTTCTGCCTTAAAGAATTAGTAAAAATTCCCTCGTCAGTATTTAAGTTCCACCCAAGGACTGGGAATTTCAGAAAGGGTCCAGATATGGGGAGAGAGATGGTACAGTAATACCACACTTTATTTGTTCAGCACTTTTACCAATACTAAAAGCTTCCTATAAGCCATTGGGAGGCCTCGTGTGGCACTGTAGGATAAGCACCGGACCATATGCTTGGTTTGAACCACAAGATCGGCGGTTCCGGTTTCACCAGCTGGTCCTTGGAAACTATACTGGGTCACGATGTGAGTTCAATCTGACTTGATGGAACTTAACAAGAACTACATAAACTATTTGATCCTGAAGTAGATGAATCTTACTAAGTCTTTGCTAGTAGATAAGTCTTTACTAAGAGTAGAATTGGCTTATCCAAGGGCTTAAATGTAAAGGAATTGTTGACCCTGAATTTAGTGGGGGGTTTTTTCCCCCACTTTTTCTACTGTGTCCAGTTCTTGGAGTCCTGGTGTTGCACTGTGGGTTAGTGCACTGAACCTTAATGTTGGTGGTTCAAGCTCACTAGCTGCTTCTGGGAAAACCTATACAGGGTTGCTATGGATCAGGACCAACTGAGCAGCAATTAACAACACCTGGTTCTTAACAACCATTGTTAGCACATGTGACTCATGGTAGCCTCATGCACGATAGAATCAGACTTTTATAGTGTGATTTCCTGGTGTGGCACTGTAGGATGTCGTTGAGTTGATTCGATCCATAGTGACCCTGTGTATGGTTTCCAAGGAGTAGCTGGTGAGTTTGAACCACTGACCTTGCAGTTAAAAAGACTGCAGTCTGGCACATTAACCACAGCGCCACACACTATAGGATAAGCAAGGTCAATTAGAACTTCAAGTTGATGGTTCAAACCTATCAGCTGCTCCTTGGAAACTATTCAGCATCGCCATTGAGTCAGAACTGACTCTGTGGTACTTAATAACAACGACAACAAATAATTCACCGATAGACCACCAAGCTTTTCTTCCTAGTCTGTCCTTGTTTAGTAGCTCCTCCGAAACCTGTTCAGCTTAGCAATAGGCAAGCCTCCATAGACATTAGGGCAGGCTTCTTGGAAACCCTATATAGGGATGCTGTGAATCAGAACCAACTCAGTGACACTTAGGGACACCACCAGCAGGATTTTGTTTGTAAGCATCCCAAGTGATTCTAATGTGGTTTAAATCCTAAGTACTGGAGAAGGGGGAGTGAGTGATTATGTAACAAACAAACAAACAAAAAAATGAGGTATAGACTGTGTTGTTAAGTGTGGTCAAGTATACAGGTACAGTTCTAAGTTCTTTACATACGTCCTCATTGTATCTGTCCTTTTATTGAAATCTCATTGAATTCTCACAACAATCCTCCAAAAGATGAGGGGAAAATGAATAAAAAAAATAGGGAGGATAGAAGCAAGGCAGTGTTGCCTTTGGCTTGGTATTTCTGTTGGGCTTGGCACTTTACCAGGATGTGTCCATGGCCTTCCCTGGTTGAAGGATAGAACTGACCATTGTGAATAATCCCTGGAGGTGGACATTGCTGAGGAACTGATTCTTTAAGGTCCACAGTAATTATTGCTTCTGTTGTTCACTCTCCTTGATAAACATTTATAAACTTTCACAGTGAGCAAAATTGGGTGTTATTTTGGAGACCCAAAGTAAGTCTGGTAAAATGGTGGTGGTGGTGGTGTGCTGTGGAGTCGGAACCAACTCATAGCGACCCTGTACAGGGTTTCTGAGGCTGTAAATCTTTACGGGAGCAGAAAGCCTCATCTTTCTCCCGTGGAACAGCTGGTAGTTTTGAACCGCTCACCTTATGGTTCGCAGCCTGATTCGTAACCAGTACGCTACCAGTCTGGTAAAATAGTAGTTGGATTTCACTTCTTTCATTAGAATCTCTTCTTTAAATAGTTAAATTCCCTAGTTTATTAAAGAAATCAGTTATTACCAGGACAATTTCAGTATTAGAAAGTCACTTATGTGTTTATTAAAAGAAAGCTTAAGTCAAAGTCTCTCCCTAGAACTCACAACAGAGCCTTTGGAAGGATCTAGTGTGAAACTACATCACTCTACTTAACTACCCGTTGCCTTGGAGTTGATTCTGACTCAGCAGTGCTATAGGAAAGAATAGAAGTACCCAATAGGACTCCTGGTGTGGCACTGTAAGGTAAGTACTGGACTGTGAACCACAAGGTCAGCAGTTCAAACCTACCATCTGCACCCTGGAAATCCTATACAGCATAACTGAGTTGGAACCAACTAAGCAACAACAACATAGGGAAAGCTTTTACCTATGTAATTACAGCAACAAGGCTATGATCTTTACAGAAGCAAATTGTTATACCTTTCTCCCATAGAGAAGCTGGTGGATTCAAACTGCTGACCTTTCAGTTAACAGTCCAGCTGTTTCAAGCACTGTACCACCAGGGCTCTGCTCTCCCATGTAAATTTAAGGGAGTAAATTCCATCTTTTTAAACTACTGTAGTCTTATCTTGGGAGTCCTGGTGGGGCACTGTAGATAAAAGCACTAGATAGCAAGGGTGAAGGCTGAAATTTACCAGCTGCTCCTTGGAAACATAAACAGGGTTTCCTGCAAAGTTGGTTAGCAGTTCCAACCCACCAGCTGCTCTATGGGAGAAAAATGAGGCTTTCTGCTTCCATAAAGATTTATAGCCTCAGAAACCCTACACAGGGTTGCTATGAGTTGGAATGGACTCAGTAGCAACTGGTTTGGCATCTTCATAGAATTTTTTTAAAAGGTGAATTGGAAATTTAGTGCTTTGAAATCTTAGCAAGGTTATTTATAGAGATGTAAAGATGCAGAGGCTATCTTATGATTGTTTTACAAAAAATCTTTAAGGAAGCTCTGTTTGGTCACAAAGAAGAAAATTGTAGTTACTTTTCTAAATAAATCTGTATATTTTCTTTTAAAATCTCAGTGCCTACGATTATACAGTTCCATCCATGGAGAAAGCCCTTGTGAAAACTGATATTCAGATAGCCCTTCCTTCTGGGTGTTACGGAAGAGTAGGTAAGTGACTTTAAGAAGCAGCTATTTGTCTGAGTGTTCAGCAACACTGCAGAGGAAAGGTCTGGTGATCTTCTGCGAAGAGTATAGCCACAGGCCATCCTGTGGAACACAGTTCTGCTCTCATAACGCATGAGGTCTCCATGAGTCCTCCATGAGTCGGCATCAACAGCAATAAGTTTGGTTGTTTTTTTTCCCCTCTGGTCGTCTGTTCTACCACCTTAGTTTCACTTGGTGTACAAACAAGTTGGTATTACTCAGCCTGCTTCCTATAATACGGGGGGACCACTGTAATGTGATGGCAAATGCAGTCAGTTGGAAACTCAATTGCATAACTGCTTTTACCTGTCTCTTACTCCTTAGGATCTCTGGTAGCGTAGTGGTTACGAATCAGGCTGTGAACCGTAAGGTCAGCAGTTCGAAACTACCAGCTGTTCCATGGGAGAAAGATGAGGCTTTCTGCTCCCGTAAAGATTTACAGCCTCGGAAACCCTGTACAGGGTCGCTATGGGTTGGAACCGACTCCACAGCACATAACAACAACAACTTCTTACTTGGAACTTGGAGTTCTTGTGTGGTGCTGTAGGGTAAGCATGGGACTGTGAATGCAAGTCCTGGTGTAGCACCACAGAATAAGCACTCAAGCTCAAGGTCTGTTTGTATTGCAGGGTCACTAGTTCAAACTTACCAGTTGCTCTTTGGAAACCCTACATAAACCCTGCTATGAGTTGGCACTTAACTACAGCTAACTACAAGGTTGGCATTTTAAACCCACCACTGTAGGTTAATGTGCCAGATTGCAAGGTCGGTGGTTCAAGTTCACCAGCCACTCCTTGGAAACCCTACACAGAGTCTCTGGGTTGGAACTGCCTTGACGGCAATTAACAACAACAAAATACTCCTTAGAAATCCTATACAGAATTTCTTTGAGTCAAAACTAACTGGACAGCACTTAACAACAACAGAGTGAGATTTAGGAGCCTCCCATTGGCCCTTGTAGTGTAGTTGGTTATATGTTGGGCTTATAACCCATTGTTAAATGCTGTCAAGTCGGTTGTGACCCTGTACAGGGTTTCTGAGGCTGTAAATCTTTATGGGAGTAGAAAGCCTCATCTTTTTCCTGCCTCTAGAGCAGCTGGTAGTTTCGAACTGCTGACCTCAAGGTTCACATCCTGATTTGTAACCACTACGTTATCAGATGCTTGCTGAAAGTGAAGAGGACTTGAAACATTTACTTATGAAGATCAAAGAGCACAGCCTTCAATATGGGTTACATCTCAATGTCAAGAAAACAAAAATCCTCACCACTGGACCAATAAACAACAGAAGAGCAGAGATGTCAGTTTGAGGACTAAGGTGCGCCTGACCCAGGCCATGGTGTTTTCAATAGCCTCATATGGGTGCAAAAGCTGGACAGTGAATAAGGAAGATCGTAGAAGAATTGATGCCTTTGAGTTGTGGTGTTGGAGGAGAATACTGAAAGTGCCATGGACTACCAAAAGAAACAATAGATCTGTTTTGGAAGAAATGCAGCCAGAGTGCTCCTTGGAGGCCAGGATGGCTAAGCTTCGTCTCTCATACTTTGGACATATTGTCCGGAGGAAACAGTCACTGGAGAAGGGTGTCATGCTGGGTAAGGTGGAGGGTCAGAGAAAAAGAGGAAGGCCCCCTAACAAGATGGATTGGCCAGGTGGCATCATTGATGGCCTCAAGTGTGGCAGTGGTAGTAAGGTTGGCCCAGGATCAGACATTGTTTCGTTCTGCTGTGCATGGGGTCGCTATGAGTCGGTTCCAACTTGATGGCACCTGACAACAACAACAACAACGTTACCAGAGCTAATGGGTTTGAGCCCATGAGCTGGTTCAAACCCATTAGCTGCTCCTTGGAAGAAAGATACAGTTTTGTGCTCCTGTAAAGATTTATAGCCTTGGAAACGCTATACAGGATTGCTGTGAGTCAGAACTGACTCAACGGCATAAAGCACCAGCAACATTGACCTAAGAGGAATCCTGCTGTGGCATTGTAGGATAAGCACTGACCTAACCCATCGTTGACAGTTCAAACCCACCAGCTACTCCTCAGAGACCTTATACAGATCACACTAGGTCAGAATTTACACTCAACAGCAGCACTGGCCTGAGACTGTTCTCACAACTCCTCATTGTGAGAACAACTAAAAATATAGGTGAGTTTTTACTTGAACTTTTTACCCCTTTAAGGATCAGATCTCATAGGTGACTAGATTTTGTAAAGACATTGATGTAGGTGGTTAATATTTGTCATATAAGGGAAGTGTAGGAAAGGGCTTAGAATGATGGCATTGCATTTTATATGATGAGAGTCACACTCCTGCCCCTCGTTGTTTCCGGAACACATCAGCCCAATTCAGCTCTTCCATTTGGGTGTCCTCCACTCCTGGGGTGTGTTGGAGTAAGAGATCAGTGTGCTGGTGGGAATTGCCTCTTAGAGGGAGGAGCGAGAACAAAATGGAATGCAAGTCTTGGAGTAAATTAGTTGTCTTCAGAGAGAATTTAAACCTTTTCAAGAGCATAATTATTCTCTGACACGGGACCAGTCGCTGGAGAAGGAGCTCATGTTTGGTAAGGTGGAGGGTCAGAGAAACAAAGGAAAACCCCCAACGTGACGGATTGGCCAAGTGACAGCATTGATGCACTCAAGAGTGGCAACAGTAGTGAGGTTGGCCCAGGATCGGGCAGTGCTTTGTTATGCTGTGCAAAAGGTTGCTATGAGTCGGTACCAACTCTGATGGCACCTAACAACAACAACAACCTCAAAGTAAACATAAAACCGTGGGGACTGAGACTACCAATGTCTCCTTAGCCTTGAGGGTGAGAACTGCTAAAGCATCAGCCTTTAAAAGAGAAGGATGACCTTTCTCATCTCATTTTGAACCCCACTGACTGCATTTTTAGCATTTTGTGTGGCAGGGGGAGTAGAGGGAGTGGGGCCGGGGAGAGACAGGAAATGGAATAGATAAAGGGCCAGGCAGGACTGGGCTCCATTTATCCACAGTAACTGATTGAAATAACTGGAATAGAATACTGTAAGTTAAGATAATTAATGATAGACCCAATGTCAAAGTAAAGTATAAGATACGAATTTAGCTTTTAATTTTTTTGTACTGGAATTGGATAGATGAGGTTTTGTTTTTAGCATTATATTTGAATTACAGTAGTCTTTTCATCTCACTCAGATTCCTTTTGTTTTGTCTCAATCTCCTGTAGGAATTCCTAGTTATAGGCTAAGCTCGGCTACTATATAGTTTGGTTTGTGCTCTCTGCCTCCTTCCTATCCACATTGTAACATGTTCAAGTTTCCCATGTTAAAACAAGAGGTCTTTTCTTCAGGCCCCTGTGTTCCTGCCAGCCACAATCCTCTTTCTTCCCCTCTGTGGCCACAGAGTTGTCTCTGGTTGTCACCCTTGCTCATCTCTCCATCCTAGTGGTTCAACTCCCACGACTATAGATCCTCAATCCGTTAATGTTACGTGGGAGTGGTTCAGTTTAAACTTGAATTAAGTTTAGGCTTGAATTAATTTTATGAACTTTTTTTAGTCTAAAAGTTTGTTAAATTTTTCTAAATGATTCTTTCCTAATTTGGCAATAAAGTATTTTATTTATTTATTCTAGGATTTAAAAAAAAAAGCTGGTGCTGATACTACCTATGCATAACCAATCACACCCTTTAAGATTGTTTTCCTGGTTTATGGGTCATTATTTCAAGGGACAGCACAGTCAATTGACCTAATAATCAATTTTGGTGCTTAAACCCTATCCAGGGCCCGTATGGGTCGGAACTGACTCGATGGCACTTAACAACAACACCAACAATTCTAGCTCTAGAGTCGTAGAGCTTACGAGGTTGGCTGCTAATCTCAAGGTCAGCAGTTTGAAACTACCAGCTGTTTCTCAGGATAAACATGATGCTTTCTGCTCCTGTAACAGCCCCAGAAACCCTGTGCAGGGTCTCTGTGAGTCAGAACCAACTTCTATAGCACATAACCAAACAACCAACCATTTTATCTCTGAGTTACTTGTGTGGTGCCTAGGGCCTTAAAAGCTGCTGAGCAGGCGTACAAAGTACAGCATGAGCACCAGGGGAAGAGAGAGGCAGGAATCGGTAGAGGAAGTGAAATAGGTTTCCAGTCACCTTTGTGAATACCTGTCACTTTATCCCTGGGACCAGAACTGGGTGGTGCCTGACTACCAATACTGAACATTTACATCAAGGATTCTGTAAGAGTCCTGATCAAAAGGAAGAAAATGTAGACCAGACTCTTTAATTCTCATGGAATCCAAATTCTGGAACCATTGAAGCCATTGCTCTGAGCTATTACTCTGAGGAAATCTTTAAATTGTGAACCAAAATGATCCCCTGAAATTATCTTTAAACAAACCAGAAAAATATATCAACCTTATTAGAAAAGAATGTCTTTGTTAAGCAGTATAATAATCTGTATGTGATCGAATTGACAACAGCGACTCGAAAGGGTAAGATTCAAAGTTTCGGGGAACATAGAATTTGTATTAATGATGGTGATATAGTTTGGAAAAAGCTTTTGAGAAGGGTGCACACCTTGAAGAATGCAGCCATTGTCACTGAATTGTACATGTAGAAATTCTAGAAGTGGTATATAGTGTTGTGTGTATTTTCATCTAAGTAAGTAAGTAAATAAATAAACTTTAAGATAAAAATTAACAATCATCTGCTAAGTCAGTATGAGCATACTACAGGAGAGCAGACGATGACATCCAGCTTTGTTTCCCCAGCTTAAAACAACCATTTCCCTTTATTTTGTTTCTTAGCTCCACGTTCTGGCTTGGCTGCAAAACATTTCATAGATGTAGGAGGTAAGACATTTGTGTTTTTGTTCTATCAATATTTATATTAAGTATTCACTATCATAACTAACAGGTAGTATTTTAACTTTTATCTTTAAGAAAAGGATCTGATTTTGGGTTGTATCTTGTGTCTATAGACATTTCACATTTGAAGTAATAGCCAATTATGCAGTTTTAGACAGTATATGATTAGGTCTAATTTTGAAATGACAGTTAATGTGGAATGCATGTTATTTTACTAATAAGCTAACCAGGCAGTATCTGACACAGGATGTTTTACTATATTTTTGCCTTTGTTCAGTGATAATCTTCATTTAGTCCAAAAATCGCCCTAATTTTGGAGGAAAGCATGTTATTGCAAAGGAAGAAAAGCTTTTATGTTGTAATTACGTAGACAAAAGATGCTAAAAAGTGCAGGTCTGTCTTGTAGTGAATAAGCATTTTCATAGTTCCATGTTTGGCAAAATATGAAGAGATCATGCTTCCCTGTTTCTAAACTTCTTGTCAATAAAGCCCTCAGTGGTACCTGTTTCCTCTACAGCAAAGCCTTACTCAGGTCTCCCAAAGGAACTTCCTCACATGCTCCACCTCTTGTCAATAAAGCCCTCAGTGGTACCTGTTTCCCTACAGTGAAACCTTACTCAGGTCTCCCAAAGGAACTTCCTCACATGCTCCTTCATGAGGTAGTTGCAGTCTCCTCTACTAGTTGCCCTTTCTATAGGATCTCTAGCCAATCCCTCATTGAAAAGGATCCCTCTCTCTCCTGATAGGACCCACCTGCTTTGAATTTCCCCCTTACTGGGCTATAGACCACCATCCTGATCAGAATTTATCACCTATTAATAATGAGTGGCCTCATGACTAGTTAGACATTTTGGACCCTGGGTGTGCTAGGCCCTTCCACTCCCACATTTTGGCAAAGCTACTCACTGGACTGCTAACCACAAGGTCGGTGGATCAAACCCATCAGCTGCTCCTCAGAAACCCTAAACGGGGTTACTGTGGGTCAGAACTGACTCAACAGCACTTAATAACAACTCTGCCTTTCTAAAATAAGACAAAAGTATAAATAACTATTGTGATCGTCCATTGTGTACCAGGTGCTTTATGTAGATTGAAAAACTCATACACTAACCCTGTGTGTTCATTTAGCAGCGATAAGTCCAAGCTGACACAGCTTTTTAGGCTGTAGTCTTCATCCATGTGTTTCCAAACCTCTTGTTTTTTATCCCCCTGAGAACATCCGGTGGAGCTCTGTTAGTGTACTGGTTATGAATTGGGCTGCGAACCACAAGGTCAGCAGTTCAAAACTACCAGCTGTTCCGCTGGAGAAAGATGAAGCTTTCTGCTGCTGTAAAGATTTACAGCCTCGGAAACCCTGTGCAGGGTCGCTGTGAGTCAGAACCGACTCCACGGCACATAGCCACCACCACCAAGAACACCCGGTGACCCAGTGGTCAGGCACTCAGCTGCTAACTGAAAGTGTGGTGGTTTAAGCACAGGGGAGAAAGATGTGCTTCCTTAAAGACTTACAGCCTTGGAAATCTTATGGGGCAGTTCTCATTTGTCCTGTAGGGTCACTATGAGTGGAAATGGACTTGAGGGCAATTGGTATCCAGGTCACCAAGTTTCCTTGTGTATTAGCTGACTTTTGTGTGCCTCTATAGGGGTTCAGCCCAGGGTGAGGACTCTTCCTTGGCTTGTGTGTCTCTCTCCTGCCTCCTTGTTCTACCCGGTGTTTCTTATTGGTGCCACTAGGTGGTGCTAAAGTAGAGATTGACAGCTGACTCCCAAGTTGAGACAACTCTGGGCTCCTTAAGTTATAAGCAATTTCAGAAATACTTTCACAAAGTTAGGTATGGGAATTAAGTTCTATAGTTTAAGGAATTAAAAGATCAGATGTGTCTGAGGAAATTTCATAGAGTGAGAGGAATAAGGGTAACTGGTGGCATAGTGGGTTATGTAATCACAAGGTCAGCAGTTCGAATCCACCAGCTACTCAGCAGAAGAAAGATGAGGCTTTCTGCTTCTATAAAGATTTATAGCCTCAGAAATCCCCCTGCAGGGTTGCTATGAGTTTGAATCCATCAGTGACATACAACAACAGTAAAAGGAAGGTGGGTTTTGGAGGAACAACTGGGTTTGGGAATCTCAGCTCTGTCACTAACTAAGTTTTGTTAAGTACCATCAAGTTAGTTTGAACTCATAGTTACCCTGTGTAGGGTTTTAGAGGAGCAGCTGGTGGGTTTGAACTGCCGACCTTGCTGTTAGCACTTCAGAGCTTATCCTACAGCGCCACACCAGTTAGTTAGTATTTAACCTTCCTGAGTTTCAGTTTCCTGAGACTTTGTAAAATGGATATTAGTACCATGTGAGGATTAAATGGAAATGTATGTAAATCATCTAACACATTGCTTGGCACTTAGTAGACACAATAAATTATAATTCCTATTGCCCTAGGGATTTCACAGAATTTTATATGTAGAAACTGTTTTTTAAAACTTTATTACCTAGTTGTGAGCTAAGTCCAACCACGTTCTTGGCCAGCAATATGGCGAGACCTGGGGACTCCTGGACCCAGGGTCAGGGACATGGCCACGGAGGACTAGAGCAGAGAGTGAAGCGCCCAGCTGATATGAAGTGAGCAGAGATGCACAAGAACACGCATACTTACAGTTAGCACCCATTTGACCTGGCTTAAATGGCTGGATGATCAGAACTCAACTAGAGGAAGAAAGAAGAGGAAAAAAAGAGTAATCCACTACAGTGTGATGAACTTGACCTATACTTAATGGATAGCTCAAAAGAGGGAACAAATCTTTACAGCAAGGACATTTCCACCCCCTCGGTACACAGGGTTGACAGGGATGGGCAACTTAAGACATTGGCTACCCAAAATGGGGGTGCTACAAGGCACAAAGTGACTGACTTACAAGCTTTCAAGAGGTAGCCTAGTTTTAGAGGGTGTGGGGGAAGGTAGAATCTCTACTGAATGGTTTCTAACCTATCTGGGCGGGGCTGGTGAAAGGAGATGGAGATATGACTCTTGTGGTGAATAATTGCTATCAGGATTGATTGGGAATGTTGCAAATGTAAAGGTAGGCCTTTTGTAACAAAAGGAGGGGAGTGGTTGATATTACAGTCCAGGAGCAGAGGACCTGGTGTCATCAAGGGAGAAAAGCGGAGTGTGGGACCCTAACCAGAGAAGCAATAATGCCAGAGATGGAGGCAAAGACAATGATGTGCAGAGATGGAATGGCTGGGGACTTTGGACTCAGGGCCGGAGAGGGTCTGTGTGTGACAGCCAGGGGTGGGCTTGCGGAGTGTGCCCTTTGGTTGTTTGAATGGTTATATATTCCTGAGTGCTTCGGTGTACATCCAAAAAAAAAAAAAAAAAAGACAAAGAGGGAATGGAAGCAAATGCTGTTGAATGATGATGCATAGAGGGGATTGTAATCATTGCAATGAAATGAAATATGATAGAATGAATTTCAAGCTGATGTTCTCCCATGTAAACTATCACCTAATTCACAATAAAAATTTAAAACAAAGCAAACAAACAAAAAACACATTACCAATTTCTGCAATCCTCTGAAAAGAATTCATGTAAAAGAAATGAAAAGTTATTTTGCCTGGTGGCTGGTATGATGTTATGCACAAAGTCACATTGTGATGAATTCTTTGGATGCAGAGAATCTTAAAAATGTCTCTTAGGCACAAGTTTATCATAGTTGGCCGCAGTTTTTATTTCTGAAGAGAGATGTTTGAGGTCCCAGGCTGTAAGTAAAGGGCAAAGGGAAAGGCTGAGTATACAGGATTCTGTTCAGAATTCACATCTGGTAGGTGTGGATAGTTTGCACTAAAATAGGTTTCCAACAAATGACATGCCAAAGTCTTGACACAGTAAAACGTTTGCCTGAAGTCAGTTAATCACTCCGCCAGTTCCAATGCATGATTTTTCCAGTGATAACTTCAAGATACTTCCAGCTTTCTCATGACAAGAAATATTCCTGATGCTTATATGTAGGAACCAAGTAAATCTTGGGTTTTTCTTGAAAGTCAAAATGGCAATAGGGTGCTATTGAATTTGGAGTGTTAAGTTTTTATTTTACACTGATGCATTCATGATTTTTTAAGAAAACTATTAATTGAGGGCCTTCTGTTTCACCATGTATTTTAACTGACTTCTAACAGTTTTCTTTCTTTTAGATAGTTAAGGGCTTTTCACATTACTGTGTCCGAAGCATAAACTAGAACATCTTCTTAAATCACTGGTTCCACAGAAGATACCCAGCCATCTGAGTACTGCTGACAAGGACTATTTTACAAATACGTAGCAAAGGAAATGTTTTTGTATGGGAGAAGATACTACAAAATCAAAATTCCAATGCTTAGAACTCATATGAAAAAGAATTACAGACCCAAAGGGGTAAGGGAATAAAATCCCCATCATAAACAAAATATAAAAGAGGACATGCAAATATCTACTGACATACATGGTATAAAATCCAGCCTTGCTAATGGTGGGGAAAATGCAAAGTAAATACGTGAGATACCATTTTTTACTCATCACACTGGCCAGAATTGAAAATATTGCTACCATCTGGTATTGGCAGGAATTTTGGAAATAGGAATTTTGAAATATTGCTGATGGAAGTTTGAATTGCTACACCTTTTTGCAAAGTTATCTACCAATATCCATTAAAATTTTAAATGTGCGCAAGATGGTGTTTTTTGGAATCTACTTGATAAGTATAAAAGATACTAATAATGCAATGATATATGCAGATGGATGCCTTGATATAGCACAAATACAAAAGTAACCTGAATGTCTGATAATATGTAAGAGAATGTTGTTAAGTACTATCGAATCAGTTCCGATTAATAGCAACCCTGTATGGGGTGTCTGAGGAGTGGCTAGTGGGTTTGAACTGCCGATCTTGTGGTTCAGACCGACCTTGTGGTTCACTGCTTCTCCTATAGTGCCATACCAGGTCTCCATGTAAAAGAATAGTTACAGAGAAGTGAGGGGACTGTTGTTCCATTTGATGGAATTTAAAAGAATGATTAAGATTTATTAGCCACTGCTTGTTTGTCAGTTTGTTGTACTTTGGTGGCTTTTGTGTTGCTTTGGTGCTGAAAGCTATGCCACTGATGTCACCCATGGTAGACAGGTTTCAGCTCAGCTTCTAGACTATTACAGACTAGGAGAAGGAGAGGCTATTTCTGAATGTTTAGCCACTGAGAACCTTAGGAACAGCAGCAGAGCATTGTTAGATGTAGTGCTGGAAGAGAAAACCATTGTGTTTGGTCCCAGCATACAGTTAGATATAGTGCTGGAAAATGATCCACTCATGAAGGAACTTAATTCAAAGTACAACTAGGGATTAGAGCTGCCTCCTCAAAGTAGATCATGATGATCTGAATGGAATAAAGCTTTCTAGACCTTCATTTGCTGATGGTGCTCAACTCAAAATGAAGAGAAACAGCTATAAACATCTATTAACAATCGAAACAAGGAATTATGAGGATAAATCTAGGAAATTCGAAAGTTGTCACAAATGAAATGGAATGAATGAAGATCAATATCCTAGACCTTAGTGAGTGGAAATGGACGGACATTAATGATTTTTATTCAGTCTTATGACTTAAGTGTGCTGGGAATGACGAATTGAAGAGGAATGGTGTCGTGTTCATCGTCCAAAAGACTGTTTCAAGGTCTATCTTGCAGTGCAATGCTGCCTGTGATAGGATAATAGCCATATACTGCAAGTAAAACCAGTTAATACCACTATTATTCAAATTTATGTACTGACCAATAAAGCCATTGATGATGAAATTGAAGACTTTATTCACTTCTTTGGTTTGAAATTGATTAAACATGCAATCAAGATGTATTGATAATTACTAATAATTGGAATGTAAAGGTTAGACACAAAGAGGAATGATCAGTAGTTGAAAAATATGGCCTTGGTGATAGAAATGATACTGGAGATCACATGGTTATTGCAAGACCAATGATTTCTTCATTGCAAGTACCTTCTTTAAACAACATAAAAGGTGAATATACATATGGATCTCACCAGATGGAATACACAGGAATCAAATTGACTATACCGGTGGGAAGAGATGGTGGAAAAGTTCCATATTATCAACCAAAACAAAACCAGGAGCAGACTGTGGAATAGATTATCAATTGCTTATATGCAAATACAGACAGAAGCTGAAGAAAATTAAAACAGGTCCACAAGAGCCAAAATATGACCTTGAACATAACCCCACCTGATTTAGCGATCATCTCAAGAACAGATTTTATGCATTAGATATTAATGACCAAAGACCAACAAAAGAGCAGTAGGATGATATCAAGAGTATCACATGGGAAGAAAGCAAAAGGTCATTAACGAGATAGGGAAGAAAGAGAGGATCCAAATGGATGTAAGAAGACTGAAACTGGCTTTGCAGTGTGCAGATACTAAAGCACATGGAAGATATAAGGAGGTAAAAGCTGAACAGAATATTTCAAAGGGCAGCTTGATAATACAAAGTTAAATATTATAATGAAACAGGCAAAGACCTGGAGTTAAAAACCAAAAGGGAAGAATCTCTCAAGCTAAGAGAAGTGAAGAAAATTTCAAACCTTGACTTGTAATATTGAAGGATTCTATGAGCAAAATATTGGATGGTAAATGAAGCATCAAAAGATGGAACTTCTGTACAGTCACTGTACTAAAAATAAATGGTCAATGTTCTGCCATGTCATGAGGTAGCATATGATCAAGAGCCGATGTTTAGGAAGGAAGGAGTCCATGCTGCATTGAAACCATTGGTGAAAAATGAGGCTCCAGGACTTGATGGATACAAATGGAAATATTTCAACAAACTGATGCAGTACTGGACTCACTCATCTGCCGAAAAATCTGGAAAATAGGTAATTGGCAATCTAATTGTAAGAAATCCATGTATGTGCTCATTCCAAAGAGAGAGGTAACATAACAATGTAGAAATCATCAAACATATGGCTAATATTGCATGTAAGTAAAATTGTGCTGAAGATAATTGAAAAATGATTACAGCAGTACATACTCAGAGAACTACTAGAAATTCAATCCAGATTTAAAAGAGGATGTGGAGCTAAGGATATCCTTGCTGGTGTCAGATGCGAATCTTAGCTGAAAGTTGAGAATCCCAGAAAAATGTTTACTTGTGCTTTACTGACTACAAAGCCTTTCAACTGTGGAACAGACACTGTGGATAAGAATTGCAAAGAGTGGGTAGTCCAGAAGACTTAATTGTGCTCATGAGGTACCTACCTGTACATAGACAAAAAGGTAGTAGTACAAACAGAGCTAGGGGATACTGAATGGTTTAAAGTCAGGAAAGGTGTGTGTCAGGGCTATATCCATACTTATTCAGGATGTGTGCTGAGCAAATAATCCAAGAAGCTGAATGATATGAAGAATAGCAGAGCATTATCAGATGAAGAATAAATAAAGTCCTGCAGTATGCAGATGAGACAACCTTTCTTGTTGGAAGCCAAGAGGGCTTAGATACTTATAGAAGATGATTTAAGACTTCAGTCTTCAGTATGGATTTCACCTCAATGTAAAGAAAACAAAAATCCTCACAAATGGGTCAATAAATAATATAAATCAAGAAAATACCAAGTTGTCAAAGACTTCATTGTGCTTGAATCCACTCATGGAAACTTCAGTCAAGCAAAGTATTATTGTATTAGGCAAATCTGCTGTACGAGACCTCTTCAAAGTGTTCAAGAGCAAAGATGTCAGTTTGAAAACTAAGGTGCGTCTTATCCAAGCCATGGTATTTTCAGTAGCTTCATGTGCATGTGAAAGTTGGACATTGAGTAAGGGAGACCATAGAAGAATTGGTGCATTGAAGTTACGGTGATGGAGAAGAATATTGAAAGTACATGGACTGCTAGAAAGAACAAAAAAAATCTGTGTTGGAATAGGTACAGCCAGAATGTTCCTTAGAAGCCACAGTGGTGAGATTTCATCTCATACTTCAAACCGATCTTCAAGAGAAGAGGGACCAGTGTCTGAAGAAGGACATCATGCATGATAAAGTGGATGGTCAGCAAAAAAGAAGACCCGCACAGTGGCAGATGCAATGGGTTCAAGTGTAACAACAGTTGTGAGGATGGGCCGGGACTGGGCACTGTTTCATTTTGTTGTGCAGAGGGTCACTATGAGTTGGCACCAACATAATAGTACCCAACCACAACAACAGTGAGTCTGAACCAGCTCAACAGCATTTAACAGTTTGTTGTTGTTAAGTGCTATGGAGTCGCTTCTGGCTCATAGGGTTTCCAAGGAGTGGCTGGTGAGCTTGAACGGCTGACTGCGGTAAACCGACTTTGCAGTCCAGCGCATTAACCCACAGTGCCCATACCAGGACACCTTTAACAATAGTAACAAAACATTATTTAGATGAATTGTATGGTATATAAATCTCAAAAATGAAAGAAGTAAGAATTTCTGGTATACTTGCATTATCTGTGATTGTATTTTTGGAAACATTTCAAATTTTTGGCCCAAAGATGATACTAGCAAGTCTGGTAAATGTAGTTTTCCAGGCCATGGCAGGGCCTTGGCTCAGTTGTCTCTCCTGCAAAGGTTTACTGCCCTGTGTTGAAACAGGTATTAATTACACATGGTTCCATGTGTTAAAATCTTCTACAAGATCATGCTCTACGAAAAATGTCAGATCACATTAAAAGGAGAATATGAACCTGAAATGGAAATGTTTTAGTTCCATTTTTATTGTAAAAAAACAGTTGCAATATCTGATATTTGTATGAAAGCTGCTTACAATGTCAGTGTTAACTAGGCTTTTTGCCATTTTTATTTGTGACTCAAGCATATTTTAATCTGGAGATTAAAAGTACTACCTGGAGTGGGAAGCTAAAAGTATTACCAAGAAAAGCCTTTCAAACCCAATCCTTGTTTTTTCCTAGTCTTTTTGGCAAGGTGCAGCAGGTCAGGTAGACAGTGGGTTTGGAAAGAATTCAGGACCTCTAGTCTGAGGTGGTTGGAGAAGGAAATGAGTACTGTGTAATAGATGTGACAGGTTAGAAAATTCAGCCCATTTTTGAATTCTTATGTTTTAATAACTTCATTTCTGAGTTTTGAAAGTAAAGAAATAGTACCAGAGCAGGATTTACCAATATTCAACTGTTAGGATAAAAATTGAAGAGCTATGTAGAAGTGATTTTGAGGCAAATTTATACCTCTAGTATTCTGGTCTAAGGATCCCTGATGGCACAGTGATTAAGCGCTTGGTTGCAGACCAAATGCTCACTGGTTCAAACCCACCAGCTTCTCCACAGGAGAAAGGTGTGTGAGTCTGCTTTCATAAAGATTGAAGCTTTGGGAATCCTTTTGGGTACTTCTGCTGTGTCCTCTAGGGTCTGAGCTAGACTCGAAGACTCACAAGTGCTCTGATAGTATAAATCGACCTAATTGTATTTTACTTTCTCTAGCTGGTGTCATTGATGAAGATTATAGAGGAAACGTTGGTGTTGTACTCTTTAATTTTGGCAAAGAAAAATTTGAAGGTACGTTATATACATACTTGCACATGAATGTAGTGAATTTTCTGTTTTCTATATGTAATAATAGACATAATTCTTATTCAACAAGGCAGAATACAGATAATACATCAAAAAAAATCACTAATAACTGGTTTTTGTTTTGTTTTTCCTTTAAAGTGAAAAAGGGTGACCGAATTGCACAGCTCATTTGTGAGCGTATTTTTTATCCAGAAATTGAGGAAGTTCAGGTAAGTATCATAAAAACTTGTTGTTATGTGGCGTCAGTCAGTTCCGAGTCAGCGACCCCAAGGCTGTAAGTCTTTACGAGAGAAAAACGCCTCATTTTTCTCTCACGGAATAGCTGGTAGTTTTGAACTGCTGACCCTGAGGTTAGCAGCCCAATTCATAACCACTGTGCTACCAGAGCGCCTTATCATAAGAATTGGATGATTATAAATGAAGAAAATAAAATTTTGAGGATTTAATATGCTGTTTATAACTGACTAGTATACATTTGGACTCCACAAGATTGGTTTGAGAACCCCAAGGTCGGCATTTCAAACTCACCAGCCACTCCTAGGGAACCCTATGTAGTAGTGTCTCTGTGGGTCAGAACTGACTGGATGGTGCTTAACAACAATAACAACTGTAATTTATTAATCTTACAATATAAGCCTTGTTGTTTGTTGTTAAGTGCCATCGAGTCGGTTCCGACCCATAGCGACCCTGTACAGGGTTTCCGAGGGTGTAAATCTTTACGGGAGTAGAAAGCCTCATCTTTCTTCTGCGGAGCGGTTGGTAGTTTCGAACCGCTGACCTTAAGGTTCGCAGCCCGATTCGTAACCACTACGCTACCAGAGCGCCTTAATAAATATAAACCTTAGAAATCCTTTAAATACCTTTCATGTGAATTTTATGTAGCATTATTTTGAGTAATGAATAACTTATACTTGGAAATTATGTTATTTCCTTAGCTTTTTAGAAAAAAATGTGTTTTAAAAATTTATGTATCTTAATAGCCTTTCTTTTAAAAAGATGGTATAGTAAGAATAAAGGTATTATAAGTTAGTTGTTGAAGATAATTGCTGAAAGAGACACTAAAATTAACTATGTGGCTTACCACTTTTCTGTCTTCTTAGGTTTTGGATGACACCGAAAGGGGTTCAGGAGGTTTTGGTTCCACTGGAAAGAATTAAAATGTAGGCCAAGAATAGGAAATTACTTTCTTTTTTCTTCTTAAAATAAAGAGTTTTCACTTAAAGTATTTTGGTGTTTTGTACTTTTGTAATAACATTAATAATAATAGTTTTAACTAAAAGTACTTGTTGGGAATCACATAGAAATTTTCTTGTGTTTTTCCATTGATTGACTCTATCATGTAATCTGCTTTGAGGTTACCTAATGTAAGAAATTTTTTTTTCAGTTCGTTATATGTATATATTTACATATCTTACAGATATAGAAAATTTATTTCACTAAATGCTTTGATTTATAAATCATAATTCCTTTCATTCAATAAATTTGAATTATTTCAAAGATACAAATTATTGTATAAACTAGACTAAAAGGTAATAAAAAGAGATTAGGGTTATTCTGTGTTCTTCCCTTCTTTTTACTGTTTGAAAACAATTTTTTTTTAATCTTTTAATTGGCTCAGAGAGGTTTAGTAATTTGCATAACATTTCAGCTGAATGACCTGTTAAATAAATACTTACTACTTCAGAGCACATGTTGTTTGCAGTATCTTTGATTTCTGCTAAGTAGTAGGAAATATAAAAGGGAAGAGGTGTTTAATGAAAGTCCTGCTGAAGTTTGGAGCATGATTCCATCTGGACACCATTCTTAAAGGAAAACACTCAGATATGAAGCTGCCCTGGAAGCTGGAGACTTGGAACACTGTGGTTATAGATACAAAACCTAGGGATGTTTTGTTTGGAGAAGAAACATATATGTTGGGAATGAGGAATGGGAGGGAAGTGTGGCTAGGGGGATGTCCCTGGTATATGACTGTTCTTATACTCTTAAAGACTCAAGAAAGGAATTGGGCTTGTTCTATGTGACCTGTAGGATCAATGGATTTTATAGGAAGAGATGGCATAGTGGCAGACTTGTGCATCTTCTCTCAAACAGAAAAATTTTCAAGTGTGTCATATGGAAGAATACATACAGTCTGTTGGGCTAGTATCAAACCCCACTGCCATCAGTGGATCTCATAGCAATGGAAGCTGACTGCCTCATCTTCTCCATGGGGTGTGATTGGGTTTGAACTGCTGGCCTTTCAGTTAGTAGTCCAATGTCTAATCCACTGCTTCTAGGGCTCCTTTTGGGTTGGTATAATCGAACTTACTTTGTTTGAATATTTTGTAGTGTTGTTTTATTTTGTTTTGTGAAATACATTTAGAAAACTGCATGAAACTTAAGTATATGTTATATGTATATAAAACAGTATATGGATCCAAGCTATGAACACTTACATAACTTAAATACAGTATTGCTAGCACACCATACATTACCCCTTCTCTATCATGCCCCCTTATAACCCCACCCAAAGCTGCATTTCCTCTTCTCCTTTGCCCCAACTACCATTGCACTTACTTGGGTTTTCCACCTTCCCTGCCTTCATCTCTGCAGCAGCACCCTAAAGGTGTATCTGCCTTCCCTTCCATCCATCCAAAGTATAGGCCTCGGAACTCCCTGTGTAGTGTTGTCTTCCACCTCCAACTTCCTACTCTCAAATCATTTCTAAGATGGCCATGCCAGCCTCACTAATCCTGATCCCATTTACTGCTAGACTCCTTGTCTTATAGGAAAGTCAAATATGTTAAGACTTCAGACTTGAGTCCTTACAGGTTTACATTATTTCTCTGCATAGGAGTCCTGGTGTAGCGCTGTTGGATAAAGCGCTAGACTGCAGGGTCAGTTTGAACTGCAAGGTTGGTGGTTCAACTCCACAGCATGTAACAACTCTGTATAGACTGACTCTTCACCCAATTTCCTTTGACCAACTGACCCTGCTTCCTAGGACCAATTCTCTCTTCCACCTGACCACTCTCCTCCCTCCCCTTATCATGTGATCTTATCCCATGACCTAATCACCTTCACCTTACCCCCCATGCCCTCCCCCCTCAGCAAGCTTTTCTCATTTTTGCTCCTGTTTCCACAGCATGCTTTCTTCCTGGTGCCTAGATTGTCTCCCATGGACCTTGACTTCTTTCATTTCCTGTGTTGTATGTATAATCATTCTCTTTTATAGTAACCATTTCTTTTAAAATGGAAGCCTAGACTGGCACTGTAGGCTCAGCACTGGGCTGCAAACCACAAGGTTGGCAGTTCAAACTCACCAACTGTTCCTCGGAAACACTATACAGGGTTGTTGAGTCAGAAGCAATTCAGGGGTACTTAAGATTTTGTTTTGCCTTGTTTTGAACCTTATATAAATGTAACCATACTATAAGAATTATTGGGTCTTGTTTCCCTTGCTCTACAAAGATTTTACTCATGTCTTGTTGAGTGCTGTTGTTTCTGAAACAGTGAACCTGTATAAGGTTTCCAAGGAGCAGCTGCTGGGTTTGAGCTGTCAACCTTGTGGTTTACAGTCCAATGCTGATCCTACAGCGCCACACCAGGACTCCATGTTCCATGTTGTTAACGTGCTATCGAATTGGCGCCATCCCATCGGCACAGTACAACAGAATGAAACCATGCCTGGTCCTGTGCCATCCTCACGGTGGGTATGTTTGAGCTCATTGCTGCTACCACTGTGCCAGTACATCTTTTTGGGGTCTTCTTCTTTTTCACTGACACTTCACTTTACCAAACATGATGTCCTTCTCCAGGGACGGGTCCCTTCTGATAATACTTCTGAAGTATGGTTCTGTAGCCTAAGTGTAGGACTGCAAGGTCGGTTTGAACTACAGAGTCAGCAGTTCAAACTCGACAGTCGCTACTCAGAAACTCTATAGTGGGTCGTTATGAGTTGGGATTGACTCAGTGGCACTTACCAATAACAAATAAGCCTAGCCAGCCTGGCTTCTCAGGAGTATTGTGGCTAAACTTCCAACACAGCTTTGTTCTTCTGGCAGTCCATTGTACTTTTAGTATTCTTCAATGGTGGTGGTGGTGGATGGTGGTGGTGTACCGTGGAATCGGTCCCGACTCATGGCGACCCTGTATAGGTTTTCCAAGGCTAAATCTTTACAGGAGCAGAAAGCCTCATCTTTGTCCAGCGGAATGGCTGGTAGTTTTGAACTGCTGACCTTAAGGTTAGCAACCTGACTTGTAACCACTATGCCCTTAAAATGTCAATTCTTCTATAGTCTTCCTTATTCCTTGTCTAACATTCACACGCATATGAGGCTATTGAAAATACCATGGCTTGGGTCAGGCGCACCTTAGTCCTCAAACTGACATCTTTAAAGCGGTCTTGTGCAGCTGATTTGGCTAGTACAGTGCATTTTTGATTTCTTAACTGCTGCTTCCAGGAATTTTGACAGTGGATGCTAGTAAAATGAAGTCTTTCACAACTTTAGTCTTCTATATTATAATGTTATTTATTGGTCTGGTTGTGAGGATTTTTGTTTTCTTTACACTGAGGTACAATCCATACTGTTGGCTTTGATCTTCATCAGTAATTCCTCTTCACTTCCAGCAAACAAGATTGTATCATCTACTGTTATTACAGGTTGTTAATGAGTCTTCCTCCACTCCTGATGCCACATTCTTCATGTAATCCAGCTTCTCAGATTATTTCCTCAGCATACATATTGAAAAAGTATGATGAAAGAGTATAACCCTGGTGCACACCTTTCCTGATTTAGAACCATTCAGTGTTCCCTTGTTCTGTTCAAGTGACTGCCTCTTTGTCTCTGTATAGGTTCCTCATGAGCACAATTAAGTGTTCTGGTATATCCATTCTTCACAATGTTATCCATAGTTAATCATGATCCACACAGTTGATTATACCTTTGTATAGTTAATAAAGCACAGGTAAACATCTTTCTGGTATTCTCTGCTTTTAACCAAGATCCACCTAACATCAGCAGTAATGTCCCTTGTTCTACCTCGTCTGAATCTGGCTTGAACCTCTGGTAGTTCCCTATCAATGTACTGTTGCAGCCATATTTGAGTTATCTTTATTAAAATTTACTAGTATGTGATATTAATGATATTGTCTGATGATTTCCACATTCTGTTGGGTCACTTCTCTTTGGCAGGGGCACTAATTGGTTCCTGGTGGTGGTGGTGTGCCGTGGAGTTGATTCCAACTCAGCGACTGAATAGGGTTTCAGAGGCTGTAAATCTTCAGGGGAGCAGAAAGCCTCATCTATCTCCCACAGAATAGCTGGTAGTTTTGAACTGCTGACCTTGAGATTAGCTACCCAGGACGCCTTATGTTCCTTGTAGCTGTAGTATATCCATTTTCATTGCCTTGAAGTTGTCCCATTGTGTTAATGCACCACAGCTGCATGCTTAGTACACTCCTGGTATAAAGCCAACTTGCTGGTGATGTGCTACTATTTTTATTTATCATTAAATTTGGTTTGCTGTTTTGTTTAGGTTTTTCTTTTTCATGAGAGATTGGCCTATAATTTTTCTTAGACAATATTTGTTAGCATTTGATAGCAAAGTCGTGGTAGTTTAATCAAATGGGTTGAATATCATTTCCTCTCCCCTCCCCTTTGTGTTTATTTCTCTTGTTCATTCTCTAGATAATCTGTATAACTGAAATGATTTCCTCCCTGACTGTTGTAAATCTTAACCGTGAGGTCATTTGGACATAGAGTTTTTTTCTTATAGAGATATGAGTCATTCCTAATTGAAATGAATGATTTTCTGTATGTTAAATAAGTCTTGATAACTTTTTTTTCTAGAGATTTGCCCATTTCAATGTGTTGACTTAAGAGTTGTTCATAATATCCATATGTTTAAACATCTGCACCGTATAGTGCTAGCCCCTTTTTCATTCCTGATGGTGTTGGTGTTAGGTGCTGTCTGGTTAGTTCTGATTTACAGTGATGCTATGTTATGTCCAACAGAGTGAAACACTGTCCCGCCCTGCACCACTGTGTCACTCCATCTCTACAGTCCTCCCGATGGTTCTGTTCTGCTGTAACGTAGTGGCTTAAACAACACAAACTTCTTGTCTTACAGCTCCAGAGGCCAGAAATATGAAATCCATTTCTCATTGATAGGGCTC